AACTATTCTGCATAAATCCCTGCCATCCGCTTTGATAAATGAGATTATGGACTTGAAAGGTCAATTATATATTCTTAAGGAGAAATGCCAGGTTCTTGCTAATGTTTTTGCCTGACAGGATCTTAAAATAGACTTGGGTGAGCTAATCACATCGATGACCACGTACAGTAGTGGGGTAAGAGCTTAATACAGTTTTATTACCTCCTATGGGCAAATATTTGCCTCATGAGACACACCCACTCCCTCCAGAATAGTCTATTGTAAACAACTGGCTCCTTTTTACAGGAGCTGGAATCTTTATGATGTTTGGGAACGCTGAAACTAAGGCTAAACAGCTTATTTGAATCTTGTCTTTCAGCCAGGAAAGCTCTCCAGTTGATTTTTTTCCCCTCTAGTTCTTTCACACTAACTATGCCCAAGGCATGTTCTAGAAAACTAACATTGGCAAGAGTTCTGCTTGCCCTTTCCAATTTTATTCCTGAGAATGACAAATGGTGGTCTTTTAGAATTTCCCAGGTGGTTCTGGAAGACAAGGGTCCTTCCCCCATTTTTATCTGTCTTGGTGTGGCAAGGAGCATGGCTTAAGTTTCTGATAGAAAGAGTCAAGTGTCACTTCAAATACATTTTGCTGGCAGTATTTAGGCCTACAAAAGCTAAGCCTGCCTGCTTGGATGGCTCATGGAAATGTAATGAGTCTCTACCCCAAAGTGCCTCACTTATAATTGAGCACACGCTAGGTTAATATTATTGCTCCTAAACTGTGCAGTTGCGGGGCCATGTGAAGTATTTTATTTTAATTATCTTCACTTGGTTCCTTTAATAGACATAAATATATTAAAATGGTGAGATTAAAAAAAAATGGAGAAGAGAGATAGTATCTTTTTTCTTCATTAATATGTGCATATATGTGTTTGTGCATTATTTACATTAATACTCACAGAGTTATATTGTGGCATTATTTAGGACATTGAATATCATTCTTGTTGTCAAAAGTGACTTAGTCTAACCAGATTTAAACAATTCCAGTGTAAACAAGAGTGATCTGTGTTTCAGCTAGTTTTTCATATTAATTAGGTCTGGTTGATTCCTACGTAACTTCTAAAAATATTTTTTAGCCTGTATCAGGCTTAAATTCGATCAAAGGAAACATTGCTTTTGCACTGCTAAGAGCCTCCTCTGACATTGTTCTCATACTCTTAGAGCCATATAAGTTATCATCATGTCATACTGACTGTTGGATTTGAAATCATGCTCTGCGGAGGGTCTAAGAAGCAGGAAGACCTTCTTCCTCCACCCAGAACCCTTAGAGCCCACATAAGTAAGTGAGCATAATAAGATGTGGTGAGTACCTTGGTGGACGTACATACAGGTCTAATTGGATCATAAAAGAACTGGTGGTCAGCTCTAGAAAGATTGCAGGAAGTGAAACTTGAATTGAGTTTTGGCTTTCTGGGGATTTAGATTTGGAACTAGGGCTCCCTAACACCTTCTATTCCTTGCAAGGTGACTTTGGAAGAGCCACATTGCTATTCCAGCCAAGTTTTCTTACCTGTAAACAGTAACGCAAGATCATTGCAAAACTGTTAGAAAGATTCTATAAGAGAATATACACCAAAGTGCTTTGACAACTGGCAAGTACCCTTCAGGTGTATATGTTCTTAGAGTACCAAATGTTTTTCTAGCTTTAAAAAGAACTTACTTGATCTTTGAAGCCAACTGCTTAAATGTATGTGCAGGCCTGAGCGTGTGCACCTGCGCATGCGTGTGTTCATATAAAATATATGACTGTGGGTGTATTTGTTAAAATTAGGCTCAACTATCGTCACAAGTAGAACCAAAAATGTATTATAATTTAAACAATAGGAGTCTATTTCATGCTCATTTAAGAGTCCAGGATGAGTGTTCCTGGTCAGTGAGTGGCTTTTCTCCAAACTGTGTCTAGCTTTGTGTCCAGAAAGAAAAGAGAATTGCAGTAAATGGCTGTCTAGCAGTCTTTGCCACCCCGGGACTGTTTGTAGGTGCACATTCCTTCATACTTCAGGCAGTACGTGGACATCTACCCAGAACAGCAGTCAGTCTCTCTCAAAGAGTCATGCACCCAAATATGTAAAGAATGACACCCGCTCCTCTTTTACAAAAAACAGTCATGTGTATTAGGTTTAGAAGAGACAAATCCCAATGAAATTCCCCAGCAGAGAAAGATTTTTTGCCTTTTTGTCTGTGATGACTGTAAATGAGGCTGCTTAAAGAAAAGAGGCCAAGAGGGTGAGATTGGCAGGTGGGAGAACTGAAGGGCGAGGCATCTGCACCTTTGTCTGAGTCTTATGAAATCGTCCTTCCTACTCTGTCGTGTTTTCTTCTAATATCTATTTCTCTTTGTTCAGCCAGCCCTGGCCCCTGAGGGCTTTAATGGCAAGAAAAGGTCATGAGTTTTCTTCCCTACAGGAAGAATATGCCAAGTGAGCCTGATACCTAGGAATATTAACAATTTAAAACCCTAACTAGATTATTAGGTCCAAGACAAAGGAAGTGGTTAGAGTTGTTTACCTGCATTGTGGCCCTTTGATAAACCTACCACTAAAAGACAGTATCTTTAAACAGACGCCAGTGTCTTGTGTTACTCAAGGCCTCACGCCATATTGAGAGTGGAAAAGAAGATGAAATCTTATTGAAGGAAGGGGAAAACCCACAAAGAAGCCAACCTGACATTTATCAGTGTGAGCTCTTTTGTTTTGGTGACATAACACACCATGTCAGTTCCTGGCATGCTTGTTTTCTGGCTTGCCTGAAGTAACAACAATGCCAGTTACTAGAAATACAGAAGCTATAAATGGTAACTGATAATATTATGCATATTTTTAACGACTTGATAAAAATGTCTTTAGAAAACTGCCTAGGAGGCTCCCGTTTCACTTCTGTAAACCAAGGAGTGATAAGATAAAGTTGGGGAAATCTATGCTTTCTCCAGCTCAGGCACCTTCTGCACTGCCTAAGGTGCTGGGGCTAAGTGCTAGGCAGTCTCTGGCCTTGCCTTTGAAGTAAAAGTTTTGGGGAAGCCCCAGAGGAGGGGGAAGGGATGGACTGGTTCTGAATCACAGCCAGTACTCAGCTGTTGCTGGCATTGGCCTCCACAGACTGCATCTGCTTGGTGGCTGTGTGGGCTGGGATGAATTCGACTCCAGAATGGAATTGTTGACCCCTGACTATACATAAACATGAGAAGTAATGGAAGGAGTCTACATCTTAATACTACATCTGGAACCTGATAGGGAACTGTTGCTAGTGGTGGCCTCAGCATCCTCATTTAGACCTTGGTAGTGGGTTTTCTCCAGAACCCAGAAATATATATTTTCTTAGTAAACTTTTTGATGTGTGGAAGGCCTTCTGAAAGCATTTGAAAGCCCAGATCTGTGTTTTGAGGGTTAGTGGAAAGTATCAGAAAGTTCTGGCCTTGACCCAAGAAGCCTCTGGTTTTCTTGACATTTCTGGCCTACATGCCAACTTTGATTAAGTTGGTATAGGAGGTTGTGATAGACAGATCTTTCAACTAACTAGTGTGTGTTGGTCTGGGTGTCCCCCTCTGACACCAGTGACAGTCAACAATTTCTTCTTTGTGAAGGATCATGAGGACACCACTCTTTCTCATTACCTTCCTACATATCTTACAAAGGAATAGCCAATTATTTGGATTTACCATGGTTTGAGATTGTCAAATTTTCCATTATCTGGTAGAATGGAAAAATCTAGAAGCTTTGAACTCAGATAAAATTTCCATCAAAATAAAACTCTCGTAGTTTGCACTTTTCTGTGTGAAGTAAATTTGGCTATCTTCATGATAAATTCCTCTAACATGCTTTGCAGAGACTATTGACATTTTTGACTAGAATAAGGTGAAGGATTAAACTACTTATATTGGTTTTAGAAAATTAGACAAATTTCCTATTCAGAAAAAAAAAGCAGGATGAGCTTGATTTCTATAAAATCTACTCAGAAGCTAAAATATTAATAGCATTCTAAAAACTGAATTTTATAACTCTTAATGTCCTGTGGGGGTGGGAATCTGGTCAAGAATGTTTATTTTTTTTTCTTTCTGTTGCTTACCTTTTTTGTCATGTCACTAACAAGTCAATTGAAAGTTGATGGAATTCTCACTCTAGCTATTTTGCTTAGCAGCACATTTGGGGGAAAATATGGATGGGGAGAAGACTTGAAATTAAAGATTTAAATAAAAAGGTTTATATGCCTGACTTCTTTAATCAAATAAGATCAAGGTTAACACTAACCTGTGCCGCCTTCTAAGACCCGTGAAAAGCTCCTCTCTGTGAAGCCATCCCCCAAGATGGCGGACAGGTGGAAATGCCCATCCACGAGCACCTTTGCTGTTGAAATCACTCATCTCTTCTTTTTTTGCCTTCTCATATTATTACTCTCACTGTATTTCATCTCCCCAACAAAATATGAAGTTTCTTGAGGTCAGGACCTATCATAAGTCTGTCTTCTCCCCTTAGTATTTATCACAGCCTTGTACTTACAGTAGTTATCCTAAACATGTTAGATAAACAGATGAAGTTGGAAACTCATGAAATTCTCCCTGACTCCCTGATTTTTGTTTAGATCCCCATTTTCATACCTTATAATTTGATTTTAATAAGAACATCTCAATTTTTGTTTTCCTGATTAGTAGCAATGGGAAAATTCAAAACAAAATATAAAGATAAGTAATAAAAAGGAAACTATAACCCTAAATATTATCTACTATGACTATTTTGCATGTTTCTTGGAAGTTTTGCTTTCTACACGTGTGCATGTATGTATGCACAAAGTTTGGGAGGCTCTGTTCATTGATTGCAAATGTATTGACAGTTTTCCATGCTGCTTTTATCACTTAAGAATTACAACTAACATTTTCCCCAGGTTTCAAGTAATTTCAGGTTATATCATATTCTACTATGTGAGTACATCACAATTTATTAATTAGTCTGATTCCCTTTCAAATCCAGGTCAACCTAACTGAAGCAGATAAAGAAGGAGGAATATTTATTACAAGGTAAGATAAAACATGACATGAATTAGCATAATCCCACGTGTAGAATGATGGGCACCAAAGGCAGGGTGACTATGTACAGCTGTATGGAGAGATTGTCTTTGGGAGACCATAAAGCTTCATAGGGAGATGGTATTTCATCTGGGCACCCAGGCAATGTAAAGATGATAGTGATGTAAACATTTCAAGTGCTGACCATGTGCTACGCTGTATTATCATTCTGTGTGGGTCAGTTAATTAATTCTTCAAAACCTTTGCTCTTTTGACAATTACCATGTAGTATTTTCCCATGTTCTTTTAAGACATTTTTGGTTATATTATATTCCATCACAAGAATACCTTGTAATTTATTAATCAGGCTTCTTAAAAGTTGCTGGATCAACTCAAACCTAACTGAGGCAAAACAAGGTTATTACCTTTATTATAAGACATTTCAGTCCCATTTTCCAGATGAGAAAAACTGAGGTTTAGAGAGGCCATGTGATCTAGCCCAGGCTCAGTTAAGATTTTGACAGGCAAAGAGGAGGAATGGAAACTGAGTTGGGTGGTGAGAGCAGAGGGAGACAGTTTGTCCAAATGAGTAGCTTCACTGAAGACATGACTAGCCACATATGTCTATACGGTGTCACTGTAAGTTTGGTCCTTGGGGTGCATTTCGTTAGGATCTGCCAGATGGAGAAGACAGGAAATAACTACCTTTCACCGGGGTTCTTTAATGTGGTTCCTTCAACAGCCATCTGTGCTACCCATTGCAAGGAACTGAGGATTTCAAGTCATCTCTTGAATCTTCTGTGTGACAGTTTCTCCCATAACGGCTCCTGAGTTGAAGATCAAAGGCCACCAGACATTTCAGCATACAGTCAATTTTTAATAAGTGATTTCTACAAGGAGGGTAATTAAGGTGACTCCCAGAGAAACACACACACATATAATGTAACAAAACAAAACACTTAGCTCCTCTCCCATTTCCAGGTCTTAACAACGTCATGTATAACCTGTTACAGTCATAAGAGTATTGGCTAAACTAATATACTGTGATGAGCTGCTCATCCTCACTATCTGCCTGAGACAAGTGTCACTCTAGCCTGTGCAGAAATCCCTAAACACCCCTCCAGGTTCATCCTGCCTCTTTGCATCATAACTCACAATGCACGTGAGAAAGGCCTCATTTCTTGGTTTCCCCTGGCTCACTTGTTGCATGCTGGGAGCCACCAACTGGAGGCAGCAGCCCCGGGCTGTTGGAATGGCTGCAGTGGGTCTGTCTTTGAAGTCTTACCCCGCAGTTATCTCTCATTGCACCAGGCGGGTTGTAAGCAAGCCCGTTGCATGCAGCTGTCACCATTTAAGCCAGCAGGCGTTTGAAGATGTGCCGCCCCCCACCCCTTGTGAGCGAGGGAAGCCAGAATAGAACAAAGTGTGGCGTTCCCATGGAATCATTTGAGTGCTTGATAAGAGTGTGAGTCTGCACCTTTTCCCCTGGGTGGCAGGAGGTTGGGGGAGGGGCCAGGAGGAGAGTAAGGTGGTTCTTAGGTCCTCTTTGCGAATGTCCCACCCAGGAGCCGAAACTGCCACACTTCATGGTTCATGATGACAAAATAGTTTGCTTAAGATAGAGATGGCAGGGATGGACGTTTAAGGTGTGTGTGTAGGGGGGGCTAGGGGGGAGAGGCCTCCAATTTCTGCTGGATTTCTCACGTGGGTCTTGTCCACGCAGCATTTCCCACCTCTTTCCTTCTGTGCGCAGAGCACAGTTGAGACCCTGCATCTTCACGCTACTGTTGAACATGTGTTCTGAAGGAGTGGTGAGATAATGTCACAGCCGTTGAGGGACTAAGCATGGGCTGTGGTTTGTGATTTCCTCACCAGGTCTTTATCACTTGATGAGTGTGTTGGTTTTGTTTTACCCCTGGAGTGTGGGCTAGGACAAATTTCTGCCACCTCTTTCCCTCACTCCCAGGCCTCCTTTCTCAGAGAAGACCATCTTAAAAAAAAAATAATAATAATAAGCAGCTGCCCAGAAGAGCACTGCGCTTGCCTAGACCTCCCAAACATCTCATCAAATGTTTCTTCCTCCTGGATCGATTTCTCTGATGCTGCAAATCCCACACATGGAGAACTGGCACTGGGCTTCTGGAGAGCCACTCTGTGTAACAAAACTACTTGCAGGATCCAGGCAGGGGCCAGGGGCAGGCCAGGCGCTTGAGGATCCCCTTTTGCTTCTTCCTGACCAGCTGTCCTGCTGAATGAGCCACCCGTGCAGTGACTCCACAGAGGAGCCAAGCGCCCAAGAGCAAATTGCTCATTTTACAAATAAAAATGCAGACAGTAGGAGAGCCCATATAAGCTGAGTTACAAATTGCTGTCAGGCCTGGGTGGGAAGCTGGCAGTCAGCAATGGAGCCTTAGGTTGTTTGCCACGGGAAGGAGGAAAGAGTCCTGTTATTCGCACTGGAAGGACAGTGCAGGAATTCCTGGTATGAGAATTGTCCGCCTCTCTCCGCATCTGCAGACACCATGTGGCTGGTCCCTTGGTGGCCTGGGAGATTACATAAAGGGCTGGAAAGCTCACAGTCTTTGTGAAGGATAAATATCTTCCTTCTGCCACCAGAGCAGTAGCAATTGTGGTTCCAGGAGGGGAGGTTTGAAAACAAAAATAGGCCCATAGTGTTGGCACTGCATTGCTTCCAACAAGATATCATCAACTCTTGTCAGAGACCAATTCTGTAGCTTGTGGATTACCCAGACCTTTTTCTTCCCTCACCCCTCTCTGCACTGGCAGAATCAATAAAAGGAAATGAAAATTCAAACTAGACAATTTTTCTATTTGTAAGCACTTTATAGAAAAGGTTTGGTTACAGAAATGATTCAAGCTACTGACCAAACTAAGTTTAGGCTGTGTGTGTCTGTAAGCAACTTTGCCCCCATGGAGAGAAGTTCGAGAATATCAACAGGCTGGACCATGCAGGACTCAGGCCTCCCCAATTCTTTTAGCTTAAGACATGATGGAGCCAAGAACAGAATTAGGCTTATTCCTATTGGAGCATTGCTGGTCCTCAGAAGGATCCTATGTCCTCTCTCAAAACTCTGGGCAGCATGAAGGACTGGTGGGACCCTCCCACCACAAAGCCTGTCGCAATCTTAATCCACAGACTTAAGAAATTCTTGGAGGATTAGGAACACCCAGGATGAATAATTGTCTGAGCACGTTGATCCCAATCTTCATTAGAGGTCAAGGTGGCTTACAAGATAGTTTCATAGGAGAAAGGACACGAAGATGTTGTGTTACTCTTCAGACTCATACTCTTTATTAACATGGTAAAATGCATCTGCAAGGGGAGTGTGGCCTGATGCAGTGAGCTCTCCATCCAAAACTCCAGTGACACACTCCAATTCCATTAGCAATGTCAGAACTGGTCCAGAAGAGTTCGGGTGGGGGAAAGCCTGGGTGTGAATTCTAGATTCTCCACTTAATGGATGCTGTTTATCCTTTCAAAGATGTGCTCATCTGATCCCTACAACTGAGACAATTATATTTATCACAGAGAGCTAGTGAGATAGACTAAATAAAGCTTATGAGATGTCTAGTACCAGGCCAGGCATATGATAATCACCCAAGAAATATTATCTCCTTTTTGTCCCTGCATGCTCTCCCATGTCCAAAATCAATTAAGAAGAGGTAATAAAACACGCCTTTTAAAATAATTTTTCGAGACATACCTGGAGATCGAGCTGAAATAGAAGATCAGTCTGGGAGAAGGATGGGTGATACCCCTAAAGCCACTCAGTGACCTGGGCCTGACATTCAGCATATATTTGAAGCAGAGATTGGACAAGCCACGTGATGGCAACTGTACAGGTGTTTTTCATCAGGCTTGGTTCCCTGTATGAGATAGAGAAAGTTAAGGGCAGGTTACCTCACTGCCTGGTGGAGAGGGTGGATACAGGGCAAGACTGAAAACTACCCCTAAGGAAATGGGGTGTAAAGTAGGACTCAGGCATTGGAGGAAAAGGGCAGAAACCCAATGATTGGATAGTTTGGAATCCCTCAAGGCAGAGCAAGCCTGACCTTGTAACCTAGGACTTTCAAATTCACACACACACACACACACACACACACACACACACACACCTATAAAATTAGGGTGACATGACTTTTCCATGCTATGTAGAAAAAAAGAATTGGAGATTCCACTTGACAGTACTAGTCAAGAGTTGGATGTGGCTATGCATTCGAGGCAGCACTAATGAAAATGAAAATATCCAATCTAGATCTAGAAAGAGATAGCAGGGGCAAGGAGGAGAGCCAGGAGGGTGGTGAAGGGATGGGAAACTGAACCAGCTGGAAAAGCACCAAAGGAACTGTGGAGGTTTAGCCTAAAAGTCAAAAAGAAACAGTAAGAGTATATAATAGTTATCTTCAAATGTGTGAAAGAAAGTCAATGAGTCAGGGCTCGTGGTTGTAACCAACGTGGTTAGGCAGATTTCAGCTAACTTAGTCAAAATAGGAATTTGTTGAAAGGTTGTTGGGTGTCTTGCAGGATCATCGGAAGATGCGAGAAGCTGGTGGGGAAAGCCCACAAGAGCCAGGAGAGACTGGCAGAGAGAACAGAACCGTGGTTACACCACAAGAATCAGCCAGCCAGGGAGCCACCCTGGGCTCCACCTCCCCTGCATACTTGTGGCCACTGTTGCTGGGCCCTTTTCTGCTTCCACAAATAGTCTTGGACCGTGTCTTCCCCTTCTCCATATTACAAACCCTACTCAGAACTTCCACTTGGCTACATATTCTAGAAACTCTCCTGTGGATTTTGAGATCTCCACTCTTAAAACCCTGGGCCTTGAAACTGTTCACATGTGCTTTGGTACAAATGTGGAAAAAGCTATGATTCCCTTAACATTTTCTAATAGATTTAGAGGATGGGGGTTAGAAGGCGGGTGGCAGGGAGCATGAATTTCCTGCTTCCCCAGAACTCCAAGTCAGCCATCAAATCTTGGCACAGACAG